GCCGCAGCGAGCTGATCCCGGGACGGGAGGGTACGAGACAAGAGCGGTCCACGTGGGAGGCGATGACATGTTCACGTTGCGTCTCCGTATCCAGGAACGAAGTGGACGGTTGAGTCTTTTTCTGGGACGCCTCTTGGTGGGCAGATGTCTAACACGGTCCTTGAGCAGTGGGCACGCCAACCGGCGCCCAGCGAAGGAACGACGCCTGCAAAGACGACGACGAGTGCGCTCTTGGACGCTTCGGCGATGGACTCGGGAGGTCGCCGCGAGGTGGGCTTCGCCTTGGATCGAGCGCGACCCTCGTTACAACCGGTGGACAACGCTGGAAGCGACGTGCCAACGGCCACGTCGGCGCGCGCCCGACCCAGCAACAGCGTACCGTGCCAACAAGGAAGAAGAAGTACCCCAGGAGCCGCACCGGTTGTTGCGGGAACACCTACGCGAGCGTACGTGCCTAGTGAAATTCGGGGGGCGACGCCTGTTCAATCGATGAGAATGCCGACGAGAAGAAGTGGAACGCCGACGACGGACCCAGCCTTACAGGCTATCGTCATGGACAGGCTCGCCCAATTGCTACAGAGGGCTGGAATGACAAACGGAACGCCTGTGCCGTCACCGAGCCCTCACGCCACGGGACACGTGCCACGTATCGTGCCGACGCCGACCCGGCTAATGACGTATTTAATGATGGGGTACCAAGGACATATGACCCAGAGAATGAGGACGCAAACGCCGGATTCGACACCAAGCCAAATGCCGATGGCTGATATACCTTCGTATGGGGGCGTGTCAATTCCAATGGCTAATTCCACGTGGAACGGTGGAGGTGGTGGAACGCCTCAAAGGAGTGCGTTCTACCCTCCCTTCCAACCGCCAATGACGTCGACACCTGGGTGGGCTACTGCTGGAACGATACCCGCGTGGTCTGCAGCGTCTGCACGGTAGACACCCGCCAGCCCCAGAAGGGGAACGTACGGATTGCCGTTCCAGAGAAAGGCTCCTATGAATGTTGCGACGTTCCAGGGACGAGGCGGAGCGCTAGGACAAGACGGGAACGAGGGTGCTCAGGGGGGGTGGTACGCACCTAATGCAGTACCTCCGCAAGGGCAAGTGACGAGTCCGCTCTACGACCAAGACGTCCGCTATGGCTCGCACGGGTCAGGAAGAGGCGCTCTTCCGGACGTTCCGATTGTTGATATCCCGACGGAATTGCGGAGCGCTGTGAAAGTTATCGTCCTGTTCTACTCAGAGACAGCCACGTACGAAAGGGCGGCCGCGTTCTGGCGTTCGTTCGAGAAGTGTACGCTCGGAATGGACGACCAAATGCGGTTGACAGCCTTCGAGCAGTGTATGAAGGGCACGTGCGGTCAGGAATGGTGGTACAATGCGAGGATCTACGACTTTAATACTCTGCGCGTGAGATGCCATAATCGCTTCATCTTTCAGACGCCAGCTCAGTTGTGGAGTCGACTCAAGACCGCTAAGAGGAACTATGGCGAATCCGCGGAAGAGTGGCGACAGGATCATCACGATGTGCGAGTACCTAAACTATCACGAGCCTCATATGCAGTACGAGTTGTTCCTCGATGGGTTAAGAAACAAGCAGATGCGGGCCGTTCTTAACACGAACTTAGCTGCGTCGACCCAGGAAGCGTGTGCTTTATTGCTGTACAAGAATCTGCACCTACCGATGGAAGAAGAGGACAGCTTGTAATAGTGGACGACGCAGAGGAACGTGGACGTAGTGACGTTCACGCAGTCGCAGTGCTACTGAATTTCAATATAAATGAACCAGTTGATGCTGAAGCAGCAGCAGGATCCTGGCACGTCACAAGGGCTCGTTGGCGCCGTGGCCCCCACGAACGTTCCAAGTTCTGGTGTTCCAACCCCGAATAAGAGCGTGACTGGCGCATTGCTCGGGTCTCTTCGCATTCGATTAGGCCCTGACCCGCGTACCACAGAGGGTAAGTAGTGTGGGGCCGCTGTGGGCGTGTTGGATGCGGTCGTGAGCAGTGTCCGCTGGGACAAAGCCGTTGCCATCAGTGCAACAAACTTGGGCACTACACAATGGAGTGCAACTGGCCGAGACCCCAAGAGAATTACCGGAACGGGGAACGCCGACAAGCGGAGTGTCTGC